CAGTCCCATCTGAGCAATGTCTTCTGAATTTGCATTACTCTTTTGGAAAATAACCAATGCCAAATTTTGTGACGATATTTCCTCCTATGAAAAATTGTCCATAGAATCACTTGATTCCGATTGTTCTGTGTTTATGACAGCTATGTGCAGCTTCTTGAGGAGAAACGGACGAAGGCAAAATTTCAGATCGATATCTCCAAAACTTAGTGTCTAGTTCAACTATATATAATAATAATATATATATAATTATTCGACTCAGCTGCTCACGATAATAGTTTACATATACAATTTATAGGGTCCCGCACGTTTTCTTTGGATGTCACACAATAATACAATATAACTAAATTTACATGCATAGTAATTAAGAATTGTCTAAATTTAAGTCAAAACCCAAAAGCCATGCCATTTATTTCAATAATTACATAAATAATTAATAGAAACAAGTTATTTAGTTCATTTACTTATGGCGTTACTTTTTGCATCAATCACAACAACAAAGGCAAATGAAAACACTGTGACGCATGAAATTGCTAATCTTCGCAAGTTTGCGAGCAGTGTGCAGTAAACAAAGTCAACTTGCCAGAAGAATACTCTTACAACAACAAGTAGAAGAGTACAAATATATAAATGTAGTATATATTTATACTAGAATAATGCAATGTTATACTCTATAAGTGTGCAGAAAGATCATACTAATTACGCCTTGATAAAACCAGATGCCAAATAATAAATATATACATATTACTTTCGTCGAGAGAGATATCGATAGTTTTAGAAATTATGAGACTTGAACCGGAACCAACAACTTATATTTTTAAATTTTGGTAAACTTTAAACTATTTCATTCAATTAAATTGCCATTACCGAAATAAAAATGGCCTTATTTTAAGTTTTTTAACTTTACTACTCTGACAGCATGTTGCACAGAGAATGTGATATTTTGTTCACCGAACTCTTAACTTTAGAACTTTGAAAAATATTGCATATTGACCCCAAGCACCCAATATAAGTTGATACGACGAACTTTGGTGTTAGCTTTTAGTCGAAGAGACCGAAACATACTATAGCGTTGCCCTTTTCGGGCACCAACTCCTACGATTTAAACCTTTTTCACTCACCCAAAACAGTGTTATTTAAATATACATATGAAGAGTGCTTTAACTCTGTACCTATTAAGTTAAAACTTTGAATTTGAGGTTAAGAAGAGAAGGATATATGCAGGATTTGAACATTTGAAAGATGAGCGGCGCTCTACATAGTTTTCATGAAATACAAGTATTTCGCAAACTATTATAGCGATCTCATTAAAACTTCGTAGAACTATTGGCATCACATATGCTTCAATCAGTAAATGGGCTAATACTTTGTAACGATAACGTAAATTGTAATGGATATGTGGTACGAAATCGGAATAAAATATTTTTTTGACTATGGAAAATGTTATCAAACTAAAAAGATAAAATAGGTAAAAATCTTAGTTCTAATCGAGTAATGGATTATTAAAATAATCTACAAAATTTTCAAGATATATATTTTATTCTAGTTACTTCTATCTCATTTTTAACGTTATACAAGTAATGGACCAAAGATAAGTACAAAAAGTATAGGGGCACTCTAAAACCTTAAAAGGGGCAATAAAGTTGGAAATTTCACATAAAATTAACTACAAATAAGATTCATATATCAATTGTAACGGTCATTAAGAAATGTGCCACATTGCGGCACATTGCGCATACATACAACATATAATTATCTGTTATTATTACTACAGAAAACTATCACAGGAAGCCCGAAGCGTAAAGACCAAATGAAGATTATCTCGCACATAAACATACAAACTGATAGTAAATAATATTTTACGCTTTAATAGGGCCAACATGTGCCCTGCTATTCAACTAGCCTACATGAGCCAGCAAATGTGCAACAGACACGTGAAATTCATGTAAACTTTGGGAGACCAAAGAAATAACCTCAAACCACTTGCCATTAATTTCTCGTAGCGTCAACACAAATCCGTGCATTAACTGCGTGCGTTACTGTAATTACGAACAGCGAGTATAAATGATGGACTTAGAAGACGCATATGCCAATCTGCCCATAATGCCAGGAGTTTGGTTCATCATATGCGTATACAGTTGCAATAAAATTGTGCTTTTTAATGTAGCACAAATTGGCAAGAGTTCCAGGTTCCCGCTGGCCGCACAATTCACATCGTTTAATTGCTAGGGCATTCTGAGTGGACCATCACAGATTGCACTGGTCGCTCATTAAATTACTATAATCCATTTAATATTAATTGCCCTGATTTAAACATGTCTTATGGCTCACAGACTTTGGGAATCATACTTAAGCGCATGCATATGCTATGTACTATACATGCATACTTACATATGTAGGTACATTCTTAGTAAAATTTGATTGCAATTATTTTTCTGGAGCTCTCGTCTTAATAGTTTCGGCTCATTAATGTCATGAATGGACCCTGGTTATTTCTAGTCCGCATCAAGTGTTCATTAATACGACTATGGCGGTTCCGAGCATAATAATTTTATTTCTTTGATTTTCCCTGTAGTAAATATGACTGTTACGAAACCTATCAGGAACTACCGAGGCCCTTTTTATAGCAAAAAAAAACCATCTAAAACGATACAAATTGATGGCTCTCAATGAGAGATAAAAGATAGCCTACAACTAGGTGCTCGTTATTTATATTAGCCTAGAAATGTATATTTTGGTTCACAAAAAGTAATTCTATAATTTTTGCCGATATATTATTACATTCAGATATTCTTATGGGTATTCAGAGCGTATATATGACCTGACCTGCTAGAATTTTCTTCCCAAAACTCGTAATTCCTGATGTGGGTAGTCTACTTTGTACTCACTTCAAATCGTTTGACACAGCTTTCCTACTCATACTTCATATTCTCAAGTACGAGTACCCATTTTTCCGGCGGGGTTCATTTAACGGTCACATGTGTATCACTGCAATAGTCATTATATTCAAACTGCTTTTGCCCTATTACTTACCTGTGTTGTACCGTTACGATTGTATGAATATTCGTCTACTATTTGGGGCGGTTATTACACCAAAATAATTGCTGTTTAGCTAAAATTACAATATATTCGGAATTATGGCAATGGAGAAATTCAAGCAACTTTCATGTGTATATTCCAGCGTACCATATGTTAAAATATCTATCAGTAACATGTATATATACATATATAAGTATATCTCATTGTTCACTATAAACTAACCCTTTATACAAAGTGATTTTCAGATTAGAACGCTTCTGCATACACGCTCACATCTCTGTTTCTAATTGCATATTAGTTTTTGGTAAGTAATATGCTCGTCGTATTCGAAAAGCCATTGAAAGTCATTTGTTTCTGCAGCAATTTCATTTTAATTTATGCATTTTAATAATGTGCGCCAATTAAAATTTCTATTCCGGATACAATAAAACTATAAAATTGTGATGCAACAGCTGGTGACTACGGTGTTAAGGTTGTGTATGCAATGCGGTCGCTCCTTTCTAGCAATATGTGACATTGGGTTTATGTGTGTGCGCTTGTTACAACATTTACATATCTACATACTTACATATTTGAATTTATACCACGTTTCACTATTGTCTTTTTTTTCCTCTGCCTTTGACAATAATTTACTTCGAAAATCCACTAGTACTCTTAGAACTATTAAATAAATGATTCCTAAGGGTTTTGGAAAACTTGTGATTTATTTGTCAGCATAGTCTCATTCTCCTAGTTCTTAGCCCATCTAAAAAAATTGCAGGAGGTCGGCAAACTAGTCCGTAGCGAGTGACTTTTTCCAGTTTGAAAACTAAAAGAAGTCGCGACTGGTCAAATTTTGAGAATAACAGGAGATAAGACCGTTTTTTTCTACAAATCGGTGCCCCATCGACCCAAAAATTCATCACAGTAGTTGTCTCTTACAGTTTTGGCATTTTAAAGTAGTCGATTCAGTTCACACTTATGTATAAGAAAAAATAGTGGTCATTATCTTACTAGTCGATAGTACAGTCTTCGCCTCCTACAGAACAAGTTAGCCGGTAAGATCCATGGTGTCTGATATGTGCCAGTGAGTCATGTTTCGTCAACGGTCAGTAAACTTCTTCGGATTGAACTTAAACAGCATCAATTACTGATATGAAGTGGTCATGGTTGCAACTGCTGTCCGTTTTATGCTGGATAAGATCTACGCCTTGAAATGCGCCTGTGGTCATCAAAAACCAATGTGCGACGACGCTGAGCATACGTATATATCTTACCGTAAGTAAATAGATATTATATTAAAGTAAATATATATGATTCCGCAACAAGAGCTGCCGTTATGATTTTCGAAACCTGTTAAGGATTGCAACGGTTTCAGATTTTGAATTATGATGCTTCTATGAAATAACCAATATGTTCACCACAATACTTTCGCAGACGCGGAAACTGATTGATAAGATTGATATGGTTAATACCTCCATATGTTTATGTATATATTAGTATGTGGACTATGCGAAAGTCTGATGTGGTTTAAACACTCTTAACCGTTTATTTAAATAGAGTCTGAAACAAAAATTAAATGTAAACTGGCACTCTCTGTTGTATCGATGGGAGTTTTGAAATTGAACTTGGTAAAAGTTGTGATTGCTGACCGGATTATGGTTTTTATCATGAGTTATCTTTTGACTGTTTAGTGTCGTCATTATTAGGAAAGCAAAAATCTTCCTCTCAGACGTATTTCCTATTTTACTCAACTCTACTCCATAACTTTTTAACGAATATACAAGTATTTAAAGTGAAATGAGAAAGTTTGGTTATCATGCTATCAGCTGTTTGTTGGCAATGTGTTTACTAAGAAGTTGTTTTTGTTTATCAATTTATTATGGAGACAAAACAACGCTCGATACTCCTCTCAAATAAACCAATTTCTGGAGAGAGCAGAGAGTGGTACAACTGCACATAATGAGTAAATGAGTGTAAAAGAATTTGAGATTTTTGCTTATCACTCGCACATTTATTTATTTAGTTTTTGTACAAATTCTAGCACCAAATGTCACAATTCAATGCAAACAAATAAATATGAGAGCCGATTTTTGAATTTTTTTTACTATTTCGTTAATTTAACATTTATATTTTGTAAAGTAAAGCACTAGAAAAGAGTTACAATTTCATGTAGAGTAAATAATAATAATAGAAATGAACAATTCAAAATTTAATAGCACTTATTTGTAATAATACATAAAATTTCATGGATGCGCTTTTGTGCCATAAGCAGAACTTGTTTGGATGATGTCTAATTAACAGTCATAAAGCTGAAGGTTTAAATGCGCAAAGTTGGAATTTATATATTTTCAATCAAATTTTGTTACATCGTTTTGTTTTCGTTTGTAATGTAATAAAAGAAATACGTATAGATTCTTGCACGTAGTTTATATTAGATGGTTATTATCAGCGTCAGCTGAACTATCATGTAAGTCAGCGCACAATCTTCACTTCAGCAACATCATTTATTGCTTCTCCAAGTACTGATCGAATAAGTAGATGCCCAATGAGGGATCGGGTTGGTTCATGATCTTCGACAAATCGTTGACGAAGCCCGAAACCTGGCGTACTGAATCAGCCTGCTTGTGCAAGAATTTCTCCTCAATGTAGTGAGCGGTCTGTGGGTCATGTGGGCGTCCATGTGTCGACTGATAGTGTACGTGGCCAGCATCGGCGGTCAAAGTCTTCTCAATGTCCAAAGCAATGCCCAATGAGTGTAATTCATCCTCCTCCAATTTCAATTTACTTTGAGCAATAGAGTTGGGATGCTGACTGATGGCACGGAAGTCAACCTGGCCGCCGCGACGTGTCACATGTTTAATCAAATCAATAGCATCATCGAAAGAGCGGTCCGACAGCGAACGGTAGAGCTTGTTGAAACCGGGACGATTCTTTTGGTATGAGTTGTAGAAGGATGACAACAATAGATATTGGTAGGACTTGTGCAGATTCAAGTTGATGTAGGATTGAATGCCAGATTCGACATTTTCAATGCCACCAAAACGGGAATGGCACATCACTGGGCCTATAAGCGTAAAGAAAGGAGGAGGAAGAAAACATTACGGAAGTGATTTAGTAATGATATTTTACCGAGCGCTTTCTCGTGTGTGAGCACGAAATATGCATTTGTTGTTTTCTTGTTGTTGTTGTTGTTTGTGCTTTACTTACTTGAGACACTGTTACTGCAGCCGTAAGTCACATTGGAGTGACAGGCGTAGTTGTCAGCGCTGGCCAGGGCGATAATGCCCGCAAACAGAGTAAGCGCAGTAAAATTCATAATTTTGGCTTTTATTTTCTGAGTATTTCACTCTGCAAAGAAACGTAAAAATGTATACCAATTAGTTGTTGTTATAAATTATTATTATTTTTTTTTTGTAAAATGTGACAATATAAGAAAAACATATAGTTTTGTTTGCATCCACTTATTGCGTTTCAAGTATTTTATTCGGTATTTTGCTTTGTTTTCTACCTTTTCGCTTGACACACGAAAATTCAATTCGTTTGTTTCTCTGGAGCAACAACCGACGTGTTTGAGTTTTATATTCGAAATAATGCTTCTTTTAAAGTGTATGGCAAATTTAAAGGGGGTTTCACCTCAGCCTCAACTAACTTCTGATAAACTCCCTACTACTTACCTAATATTTCACAAAGGGCTTATTGATTATATCAAATGTCTCAATTAAGATTTAGAGCAGTATTTCGTTTTTTACTTATTTTAATAACACGCTCTCTTTGTTTTTATATTTTTAAGCACAGATGTGTTTCAATGAAATGAAATTTTCCAACTGTCGCTTATAATGCCTGTGTCTTGCCGTTTCTATTCGATCGATACTGCCTTTGCACACACTCACACATATATACGCATATATGTGGTCATATAGCTCGTTCGTTGTTTTTGCACTCGTCGCTGTGACTCTCTACTGAGTAGATAACACGTTGCAGCAATATGGCGGCCACTTTAGTGTGCTCTTAGTAGAGCTGTTTTCCTCGTGAATACACACACATATATAAAACGTTGTGTACAGAGATTTCGAGAGATTTTAGGGTTGTCGTTAGTCATCAAGTCTTTGACTTGTTCATATCGGCCGTGCTATATTTGATTGATTTATCTTCGACAACTTAATGCATTTAATGTAGGCTAGTCTGCAAATTAAATAACCCTTGTTACTAGAACTCATTTCTGCATATAACACGACTCAATTTCTGTGTGCAAAATCATAAAATTGTACACGTCATCTTAAAAGTACTTTCTACATTAAGAAATATGGTACTAAGCAGTTTAGTTTACCAGAATTCAAACAATCGTACTAAGATTGTATTATAAGTTTAATCTATAGATTTTTATTACTCATATTGCCTCCCACCGAACTATATCTAATTTCTGAGCAATATTATTTCAAGCTTAAGGAGCACACCTTGTTTGGAATTAAAAACAAATTATTTTTTTCATATTTCGATAGGATAAAAAACAGCATACCAAAATTTCTAATTGATTTCTTAAATATATTAAGTTAATTAAATTACAGACTTCCAAAGTGTAGGCGCTCAGTTCAATCAGCTTCATCGGTTTATCTTTAAACGCGTTTTTCTCAAAACTACATTACTCGGAGACAAAGGATTCGAACACTATCTTCCTTTTTTGCATGTTCTGTGAACTTTATCCATAAAATGAACTAACAGTTTTTTGATATGATCAAAAATCTAATTTTTCCAGATCAAAATCAACAAAAATTTTGGTTAAATTTTACTTTTTTCTTACGGAACGGATAACATCTTCCAGTTGAGAATTATTTTTAGGCTTCTTCAACGAAAAAAGCCGGAATTACTGAAACAGTACCTTTGTTTAAGCGCCGTCGAAGATCACGTGTAACTTAAAATATATATAATTGTTTCTACAAACATTTTTACTAATATGTATTAATATACGCCCAATGAGCCTAATGATGGCCTATGACTGCCGCCTGTTGTCTGGCACTCATGCGCCTCCCTTCTCAACCAACCAATATACGCTTAAAATTTTCAAGGAATGACTATATTATTATATTTTGTTTATTAGTACTTTCCAAAATTTGCCTTCTTAGGCTGTGTGCCCATTAAAGAGCAAATAATAGAACTGCACTGCGATGGTAAGAAATTACAGGGTCAGTCGTTTAAATAATCAACAGTTTTTTTTAATAATGTTTGAGGCACAGCCAGATGTATATCCCCCATATTTTCGAAATTAATAGCATTCATTCCGATTCCTATGAGAGTTTTTCCAACAAGAACTGAATAAATATTATATAAGGTCCACAAAAAATCTCTTACTACAATTTAAAATGTAAACTGTATTTACATATGTAAGTAACATAGGATCTGATTAAACTGTAATAAGTCCTTTTAAAAATATGTACAAGTATTACATACATAATCTCAAAGTCGCCTGCATATTTAATGTTTCATTAAGACAATGTCACTTGTTCTTAATGAATTGATCTATTGTCAGTCAAAGTGATATGTAAGATTGGAAAAGAGTTTATGCAGATTAAAACTTTTCGAAAGATAATAGTTTTGTGCTCATAGCAACAAACGTGTGATTAAAGACAAGTCTACTCTTCCTCTGAATCATTTACATACTTATGTGTATGTGCATATGCACATGGCAACTCTACACGACCTTTGTTTTGATATGCGATTGCAAAAACCATGTGCAACCAAAAACAACAAAGGAAAACAAAAACCAGCTGACTCGGGTCATCGGCAGCCACCATTACGGACGCCATATTGGATTACACAATTTGAATGCTCTCCATATAACGTCTATAGACTACTCACATCTCCCATGAGCATGATTTTACAGAAAAACAAATCATATCTGACGAATTGTGCATACCTATACAACAAGTACCCATACTCATATATAGGCGTGCATTGGAGTCGTGTGTATGGCATATAAAAAGAGTCCAATTTGATAAAAACAATATTACTAAAAGAACCAACCTCAACGTAGAAACAAAAGAATCATACGAGTCCGACATATTGGCAGACATATTAACGATAAAGAAAAATACAAGTGAGTGCCGAAAGACACAACGTTTGTACGTACTCGCTATTGCTAGTGCTGAGAGATTAGTGTGGGCATTTAAAAGTGTTAGGCTCGTCTCGCCAGCAGTCAGTACGTATTCGCATTCAGTAACAACAAAGAGAGTTTTACGATAGCGCTGCATAAAGATTTTCCTTTCAAGTCAAATATTCATAATTCAATCAATTTGTGATTACTAAAGTGTACGACCATTGTGTCTAGAACTCTATTATCAGGCGATTTACTAACGCATTAACTCATCAAAGGCCAACGATTGCCTTCTATACCAGTGTGTATAAAGGCACAGAGGCGGTTGCGAATCAGATCAGATCGAGCAGTCGTTTGAATAAATTGTCAAAATCCAAATTCAATCGAAAACAAAAAAAAAGTTCGTGTTTCCTACACTCCCACCTTTTATCATTCACATAGTGATAGTCGATTATTTGTTTTCCAAATTTGTGCACATAACCAAGCTAGTGTGAAATTTACGGCAAAAACATACATACATATTGAAAAATCATAAACTTTTGAAAGATATTTAACTACCGTGTGTTAATTAAATTTATTCATTTTCTTTTGTGCAGTTAGCGAAGAAACACGCCATAAAAGCAACGAGAAGAGTGCAAGAAATCCTGAATTTCGCCCCAAACAACTCTAAATTACCAAGGAAGACAAAATGATGAAATTATTAGCCGCAGTTTTGTTGCTGGCCGTAGCGGTCAACGCACAGATGACATGTAAGTATTGATCTCAGGACTAACAAAAAGTTTTAAAATATTTAATATGAATTGTGAAAGTGCAAAGTGATTTTGTTTTAAATAAAATGCATAAACATGAAAAGAAGCATGAAGATTTCGTGTTGCTGCGCATTTTCGAGTCATATCCGCTCAGAGTGTAGTAGTGTTACAGTAGCAAGAGAGTGTGTGAATTTCCGCTCAACAAAAATTTGCTGAGAATTTAAACGAGTACATTTCAGCGAGCAAAAGTCATGTCATTCTAAACAAGGGTGGGTTTTTTTGGCTTTATCGCACAAAAACTAAAAATAAATCGTGAGAACCTCTTTGTTTTGGTAATACGTAGAAATTTATTTAAGACTACCGTGTTGACGAAAGGCAACTGAATTTGTTTACAAACAATGACAATTGTAAACTTTTCGATTTTCGGCGTTTTGCCAAGTGTTTTATGAGAAAAAGCGGTGAAATATGTTTTTTGCCGGCCCATATTGACTCATTGTATTATTCCACATTATTGTACTTTTTTAATGAACTCGACGTTTTTTTATTTTTGCCGAAAATCTAAATTTCCTCCATTCAGCAACCGAGCTTTGTTCAATAGGTAACAGCTGTTTTTGTTTAATTGTTAAATTGTATTAACGATAAGATTTTAGACTCGGATATATACATGCATACATATAAATTCGTTTGTTTGCAAGCCCATATGTATGTATGTTTTTATATCTTATATGGCTAAACCGGTTAGCTTTATATAGTAGTTTTATACGCATACGTATTTGGCCGTGACTAACCACTAGAAATGGTTAAAATCTTGTCTGATTTCTATACATTCATAGTTAAGTACTATACATACGTATGTAAGTGCAAATATATTCATTTTAAGAACCGCTTTAATTACTTTTGGATTTTTATTATTAAGCTAGTGTGTAATTTCACCCATAATTGAAGACTCTAATGTGAAAATTCTAAAATTTTTAATTGTTAAATTAGTTTATGCATTGGTGGGTTTTAGATTTAGAATTTTGCATTTTACTTTATTTCATTTTGTTTCTACTAGAAATCTTAAAGTAATTAATTATCTTAATCTTAATATAAATAAAAATTAATAAATTATTAAAATCTCAGTTTTAAAGAATACCGCTGAAAATTTGTAACCTTTAACTAAAGTAGTGTAAGTTGTTTAGACTAAACGATCTGACAATTTATGGCATATTGCTTCTTTAGTTCTAGTTACATATATTTTTGAATTCGAGTATTTTCTATGTTTTTCCATATCTCTCTAGATTTACAGTTAAGGTGAAATAACACAACATATCCAATAAATCGGTCTAATGCTTCTCGAGTTAACAATACCTATTGTAACTACTTTGGATTTTTTTTAATTGAAATTTGTTTACAAAATACATGAGTACTTTGGATTAAATTTAGCAAGCAAGCAGCTTACTCTCAACTCTTCCGTTTGAATATTTAATTTCTTATTTTCACTTAATTTTTACTTTCATTTCCTTTATATGCATATTTAGCATAAAATGGTAAACTTCAACAACTGTAAATTATTGCATTTCACCGTTTCTCCACCTTCTACATTCGCACGTTATTTATATATACGTTCGTATATAGGTTTGAGAGTATTGCCTTGTCAAGATCAAAGTACTTGTACTACATTGACTTCACTCAATTAAATTTAATTCCGCTCTGAGTGCTCAGCAACAAAAATATTTATGTACTCATAGTTTTACTCGAGAGATTTTTGCACACGGCACTACTGGCTAGTGGCTCTAAACGCTGTACATCCCCTTGCCCTCAACTATGCTTGCCTAAAGCTTATGTTGTTCGGCAAGCCACTGTGGGAACGTGTGAATCAATATGCTACGTGTTGTTGTTACTTCTTTATGATGTCTTTCCTATTTACAATCCTGACTTATTCGTCCGACTAACGTGCTATATATATGTATACATAAATATGCATACCGATATGTATAAATGCAAGCGCATATTTATATAAAATTTAATTATCTGTAATTACACGCTAAATTCATTTGAAATGCCGAAACCAGAAATCATCAACGGCGCTTTGGGGGATTGAAGGGTGGTAGTAGAGGAAAGGCGTTACAGGGCAATATTTTGTTTTGTCGCCAATTGATAAGCAGATGCTGATTTAAACGTTCTATGGAAATGTACTTAGATTGTATACATGTATGTATGTATGTACATAGAAATTTTACTACGCAACAACAAAATTGAGTGAAAATGTATGACATTGAACAGTTCGAAAATCTTTGCCAAACTTTAGCACTTCTGCTAATTATCATCCCACGCTAAATTTTCCAACAAATTTTCATCTTTCAACAGGCCGTTTGGAGCAGCCACGCCTTCCCGTCGAGTGGGTGGGTCTCAATGACAAGAGCGGACAATGTTTGGAGGAGATGCGTAAGCAAATCCAAATGGAGATCAATGCCTCCAACATCTATTTGGCCATGGCTGCACACTTCTCACGCGACGTCGTCAATCGTCCCGGTTTTGCTGAGCACTTCTTCAAGTCGGCACGCGAGGAACGTCAGCATGGCTCGAAACTCATTGAATATCTGTCCATGCGTGGTCAGTTGACAGACAGCGTCACCGATTTGATTCAACTCATTGTAAGTACACATAGACAATTTTTGAATATATATTTGGAAAAGCAAAAATTGTAAAATGTATCCAAAGATTTAGTCACTAATGCATGTTTATTTCTATTATATTTTTCTGTGTTTGCCAGGATGTTGATGTTAAGGTAGACAGCGGTGTTGACGCTCTTCGTCAAGCGCTTGAATTGGAAACCAAGGTCACCAAGAGTATTCGCTCATTGATCAAGGTCTGCGAGAAGACACCCAACTGGTACCACTTGGTCGACTGGCTAACTGGTGAATTCTTGGAGGAACAACTGACCGGTCAACGCGATTTGGCTGGCAAATTGAGCACACTCACCAAGATGATGTCCACTCAAGGCGCTTTGGGCGAATTCTTGTACGACAAGCAATTGTAAATTACCTCCTACAACAACCCCAACAATTCTACAAGCAGTCCGTTGGTCACCAATTAATGCAACATTAAATATTTAGTCATTCACAACACCAACAGACGGAAGGCATGTGCTGTACGAAGGGGTAGCAGTGCTTATCTCTTATACTTATACCAACTAAATAAATAAGTGATGAAATTATGTATGAATTGAATTATGAAAAAAATAATAGTATTCTTTTTGCATTATTGTGTTCTAATATATTAGTGTATTAAAAAAAATCGGAAATGAATTTCAAACTTTAACTTTCAGCTTTTTTTTTCTAAATTTTTATAAACTTTTGCTAAACAAGTCAATTATATATGGCCATAATTGGTATTGATAACACAAATAAATTTCTAAAATACTCTGTACAGAAACACAGTAAGGCATGCATTTATGTATTTTTTTCACATAACGGACCATGAAAGCGGGGGCTACATTTCTTGTCTAAATTTATATTCTCTAATGTGCCATTACAAATACTAATTTATCTATTGAAGTTTATTTAAATGCATTTATTATGCTTTTGTACCGACAAACATTGAGCATCGTAAATTATTTCTTATTAAGGCTGAGGGTGTGAGGTATTTCTGTCACTAAGCAAAGCATATATGTATGTATGTGTATGAAAAGCGGAAAGAATAATAAATATTTGTGACTACTGCAATTCAAAGTAGTTTAAACTAAACACGAGTTTCACTTATCAGCATTGTGTTGAAGGCTTTTGGGACAATTTGACAGCCAATTTTATCAATCAAAAGTCGTGGAGCAGCGGTTTAGAGATAACGGTTGTGTGAGTGATAACAATGCGTACTTAAATATGTGGGTAAATATTATATACAGAAATGGCTATGCTCTGAATGCCGCTACTTAGCGAGATTGTGAAGCTAGTACTGCAAATATCGAAAACAAAAAAATATTTCCAACCCTTGAGCATTGAACACTACCATTCCGAATATGTATAATTATCAAGTTGAATGGCAACATATTTTCAGACATTAAATGGTTGAAATAAGATTCGGATCTAAATTGCCAGTTTTCGTCTAGATCTGGTAATTAGGACAAGTCTAATACCGATTTGAGGTATTTTCTCTTTTAAACCTTTAATATCGAAGAGGGACCCCTTCACACTGATTCAATGTCTCTTATCTCTTAAATCTATATTGTTGAAAAGAACCTACAATACAACATGTACCGCATAGAGAAATTTCAGAAAAGTTGCCATTTAATTGCATTCATCGCCTTATAATCGGTGAAATGGTCGTCGAAAATTTCAATTTGGAAAGATTGTAGATAAGGCGGTAATTATACAAATCTTTATTTACTTGGTTACACTCCTTCTTTTTATATACATCAAGATCAAAGTTTATATATAAACCGAATCGATAAACAATTTTTCATAGATTGGCCCAAACTTTTTCTATGTTCATCGAGTATGCTTGAAATTTTGTTTTTCAATGGAATCACGGCTACGGAATCGTTGAAAATGTTGCAGAAGTCTTTTGGAGCGACAAATTTACTACGAACACAAGTTTTTGAATAGCACAAAGCATTAAGTGAAGGTCATGAAGACAACTATTAATAATCCGAAAAAGAGTCCAAAATAGCTCACCAGTCCACTTTTCGTTGCTCAAATTGGTATCAATCCGAAACATTTACTATAGTGGAAAGAACTCCACCCAATGTTTTTGCATTTCTTCTGTTCCGACAGATTTTACTCTTTGGCTAATAAGAGATATTGAGATATTATTTCACAGAATTATTTGAACATACGTAAAGTTATCCTATCGGATGTTATCTTGCTTCAAGGCCGTTAACCATATATTAGAACTACCACTTTGCAGGCCTCTTCTATTGAATTACTTACTCAATCCTGATCGTTTATTTTATAAAATCTGCAGGTTAGCGGAATAACGGTATACGCTGCGTTACAATATTATATGTATGTAAATATATTCAAAGCGCTACAATTCTGATACTCTCTATGATAACAATGAACAACACTAGGCTGGTTATTAGACCAAACCAACTGTATTCGAGAAACTGAGTCCTGCATAAAAGGAACTTATGTTGTGTTAAATAAGCCTAATTTTGAACTTCATAGGATAATGTTCCGGTTTTGGAAGCTAATCGCTCGCTAATCGAGAAGACTTGGTTTGGTCTAAAAAACAAAAAATTCTATCTTGCCTTATAGTGAAATATTTAAATGTACTTGAAACATAGTTTAATACTATGAAGCTGTTAGTAGGTGTATTTATTTTGGCTAATTTTAGCGTATCTAATAAATAACTGGTATTCGAATACGTATAAAATATATTAAATTTAATACGTTTAACCCAAATGTTCTTGTATTGGATTCAACTTCATAATTTTCTTATTTCACATGCAAATTTGTTTACCAGAGAAGATATTTAGCTATCTGAGAATTACGAATCGAAGGCAAGTAGTATTATGCTACGCTCTTTTACACAGCCGATAGAGTATTTGCGAATTCGGAACTTTCTCCATGAAAGCAACTATAGTTTATACGATTTATACTTTTGCGAAAAAGTCTCCATGCTTTATACAAAATTAAATTTCATTCACCCTGAATGAAATTAGCTGCAACATACAAAATATATTATTTTCATGGAGATCTTTTAACCTTATACCCTAGTTCAAAAAATACTAAATAGATGTCCATTAACCCTTCAATGCGGCTTTTCTTCGCACACAAAAAGAATAATTTATAAGTGAGTAAATTATCTTGAGCAAAATTGTTCTTGCCTGAAGCACAACTATCTGAAAAAAAAAATGAGGTATGTAAGTACAAATAGACAGTCACAAGACATGTATTGAATTATGATAACTTGTTACAGTTGTCAGTTTGCCGTCAATCTGTTCAATCACACACACTCTATGCATAAATAATATTAATATAAAAAGGATTGAAAGCCAAGTGAAATCGCTGACAACCACTTACCATTGCTTATGCTTGTACAAATTCCGAAATGAGGCCTAAAGGGGCGTTTTGGTCATTTGCCTTTATTCATGGCTTTGTACGTGTCCTCGATAAATTCGAGTTACTTTTTAAATTTTTTGCGTTTTAGTTGTGTTAGTTGTGTAAATAATCGAAATGGTTGACATGCGGTCACCGTAACAAAAGCTCCGCTGACTTTGTACAGCATTTGGAAAAATACAATAAACTCACTTGAATACGTACACATTCACAAATGCAGTTGAGAGGGTGTGCGTCCATGTTTGAGTCCCATAATTGACTTGAATATGCTTGAAGTTGAGTTTAAATAAAATTGCCATTTGTTATTCGAAAATTTGACAGACTAGCATCATTAACAATGCGGCTGTGATGTGGACAAATGTAATCGTTTATTGCTAATATATGAAAAGAAATCGCACCTTTGAACAACCTCAAATTTCTTTTCAAGCGCATATATGTATGTGCATATGTTAATATGTATGTATGTATCGATGGTTATTTTTTTATTTAAAAGAATATTATTCTAGCAGAAAATAAATGATGATGAATTATGTTTACGTTCATTCACCTTCTCAGATTTAGAAAAATTTATTTAGTTTAATTTTTCTTAAAATTGCCTCTTTATTCTAACTTTTTCTTAATTTTTCCAATTTAAGAGATTCAACTTCAGATTGGTGGTGATTTTGTTTAAAAAATAATAATAATATTTTATTTTAACAAAATTAAGGAAATGCATTTTAATAAATTTTTAACGGCTTAACTTTTCTAACTTGTACCCAATTTAATAATAATATTCTACTTACTTGTATAATTACTAAATGCTAAATTTATTCGAATTCGGTGCATCTATAAATTGCATGTGCATATACAAGGTATAACAACTCTACATAATTCCAGAAACAATTTATAATATATATACAATCTCTATTCATTTTCCCCGGGATAAACTCCTAAACTACTTCACCGATTTTAGTAAAATTTAGCAAAAACAAGTCACAAATAAAAAAAATATATTCTAAACATAAGTAATTTCAATAAAATGTCAATTGTAATTTGGAGGGACCTTAAATAGTAATTAGTTTTTAAATGAAAAAATAAAGCACTTACAATCGACATACAAAAAAGCAGATAACGTAACGTGACATTCCTTTTTAGACGATTTGAGCATTTCCGCGATTATTTTTTAATTTCAGATTTTTGAAATTTTCTTCACCGCTAATGATTAATTTTACAATAAACCATACATAATTATTACTTTTGATTATTTTCAAGAAACAAATTTTTGTTATGGTTTAGCCACGCCCCTTTTCCAACCCTGCAAAAATTAGTAAAAATATATAAAGCGTATTTATTGTACAAGGACCTTGAAATTTAACGCACAGGCTATATGTCCTAGTTTGCATGATCATTGCCAATTTTATCCATATCGGATTTAAAACATGAAAGTTATATGAAAAATAATTTCTGTCGGTTAATACGGTGTCAAAAATTAATTTTTTTTTTCGCATGGTACTCTGAAAGTTTGGTTCTTAAACTCAATAAGTATGAGTGGAATCTTCAATTCTCGACTTTAAAATACTTTTAAATATTCTTTATTTAAAATTTTCTACAAATGGTGTCAAAATGAAACTACTAAACTTATAAAAGTTGAAATAACATTAATTCGACATCTGTTTAACACCTTTACACAAACTCTATGAGATTACATATTTTACATATTCCCTCAGCCACAAGCAAGCCATACTAAAGTGGCAAGTACCTATTTGAGTTTGCAATATTTCTAATCTACAATGCTTCAAATGCCACAATTGATTAAAATCTCAAAGTCACACTTTCAATGGCATGCAAGTATCTACATAAGGGCCAGAAGAAGACATTCTTAAGTAACCCTTCCACGGGAGCCTGGCAAGTCCAGTAAATATAAATGTCGACTGTCCCGTTGTGGAAGCTGGTGGTGATAAGAAGGTGAATGCCGGTTTAACATATTGACTTATATGCCATTTAATACAAGATTTATGTGCTACAACAACAACCAACCAAGAAGTTCGCTGTTGGCTACTAACTCACCACGCCCGCTAGACTGCCAGCCGAGCTTCGTCAGCAGTTAGTTATCACAGGCATTTACATGCAATAAATGGATTTGCATATTAGCACTTGCTGGCGAAAATATTCCACATGCAACGGTCGTCTGATTCATATTGTTCATGTTTAATTTCCACAACTCTCTGAATCCTTGGCTGTTACTGTCCCATTTGGGGAATGCAGACACGCTTTGCATTTGCCGGCGGACGTTAGACCGAAACTCAGACAGGTGACGGAGAGGCAGGAGAGGCAAGCGATTGTAGTTAAGATTTAAGCTGAGCAAAGATGCTTAAATTAGATATAAATCATCGAACATGTGCCATACACACACACACACACACACCACAGCTCCAGTGCATGTGTATTGAGATGTCCTGCCAGCGAGTTTGGCATTCTTAAGTGAAAGGGTTCTGCGACACTTAAGAATCCCAAGCACTCCGGCGGTGAATGGCTCAACAGAATGCGATGGTTGGAGAGAGGCATGTGCTGATATTGTTGTTGCATACTTCTTTCTTCGTGAGTTTGGATGTGTTTAGCCATTAGAAGGACACACATACGCTTAGGGTTTATGAGCGTGTAATACCCTTTGATTTATCGTGTTTATAGTAGAATATTGTCATGTCTAATTTAAGAACTATATTTATGCGCATTTTCCTATTTGGGTGTATAAATTTATTTATGAAAGCACCAAAGGTTGCACAACCACCCACAAATATTTATTTATTACCGTTTTTATGTGCGTTTGAAGTCCATACTTATGGTCAATTTGGGAATCGCTCGATTGTTGCTTCGGTCACTGTCCCGATGTTTGAAGCTCGCGTCTGTTCTCCGTTTTATTAAGATTTCTTAGCAAACTTTGGTAATTACGATAACTTTCACTCGTTTTTGGCAAGTGTTAGCACTATATATATATATATATATGTGTGTGTGTGTATTATTTACAAAGGGCATGTGTGTTCATTGCTCTCCAGCGCAATACTTTGACTTATTATTTGTATAGATAAAGAAGCTAATGTTAAATGTTGTTCGTGTAATGCATTTTGGGCGAATGACATTTATTTTCAACTGACCATTGACTATAGAAATAGTTTTCAAAGTTGCACGAAACTTATAAATAGTTTGGCAGTTTCGCTTTTATCTCGATATATACTATATACATACATCTGTACATATATTTACCGTTTTCTTAGTTGACTAACTTTACGTGACTTTGATGTTTGATATCCTTATGATAACACAATGGCCACGCATACCTTACTATATACGTATGTAGGTATGAATGACGTTATGAAAATGTTTGTAATTAAAATACAGAAAATTATTATTTTTCAATTAAAAGCTTATTTCTTTGTTATTTTGTATTGTTATTATAATATATATTGTCTATAATACTTATAGTTTATTTATAATATATTAAGTTACTTAGTTAGTAAGACAAGTGGGCTCTCTAACACAAGATAAAACTTAACTTCGTAAAAGAGGTACCTTGATTTGGATGGGTATACAAATTATCATTTACATGAATTACCATTTTCCAGCTTACATCAGATATATATAGAAAGAAAATCTCAACCAGACGTCTAGCTTGAGTCGGCTTGAGCTATGTAGAGCAACAATGGTGGAGTGGGACAGGAAGACCTCATTAAACAGAATGCCATAGAAATGTAGCTCAGTGGCTTTCAGTCGAGATTGTAGCGGACAAAGATTGATATAACAATGAATTATCCGGCGATCCGGCAGGCTTAGAACTTGAATGGAATCTGAGTGTCTAATCGTTAAAAACCCAGACTACTCTAACTAATTGCTAGAAATCTTCAGTGTATTAATTTCCAAGGGTGCCACGTTTGCTCACTTCGTGCAATAAACGCAAATGTGATACCACTTCAAAGCGGTGTTTGCCGCTGTTTAAGAACAATCCGAAGGAGTTTCCTTCACCTTTCGCGACCATCACCGAAACATGGCTCCAGGATATGCAAGAGACCAAGGGAAAAGCGAAACAGAGCACTTCACCTGGCGAACTGGCTCCGAAGAATGCGAAGTCTGTTCTGTCGATCGGAAAAGTGATGGCCACCATCATCATCGATTTGATTCCATTGCCCCAATATTTTAAACATGCGTTGGAATGATCATAACAATAACAACAATAATAACTTTTTTCACTCAAATATGTTGAAGAGTTTGGAGAATCTTTGGAAGTCACTCATGCAGTCATTTCAAAACGTTTAAAAACAGCCAAATGTATTCAAATAATTGCGTGTCATATGATTAAAGCCTAGACACGTTGAATGACGATTTTGCATATCAGAAATGCTGCTTAAATGCTATTACACGTTTTTACATCGGATTGTGACTGGTGATGAAAAATGTATGCAATACGACAATCGTAAACGCAAAAAATCTATGACAGAAAGGTAATGTTGCATATTTAGTGAGATCAGAAAGATGTGATGTATTAAAAGTTTCTAAAACTACATAGAGTCTAGAACCGAGGCAATAATTTTTCATAATTCCATTCGCACTCAAGTTGCAAGATCGATTAAAAACTGTTTGGAAAACAGCGGCAGGGAAATGTTACCTCACCCGCCATATAGTCCAGACCGTGTCTTTTCTGACTACCATTTATTTCGGTCGAAATACGGTTGACATTAGAAAAGAATATCAAAAATTAATTAGCTTGATTGATTCTTGGTCGCCGAACTGGCGCATATCTTTTGGGATGGAATCCACAATTTGCTAGAAAGATCGAAAAATCGTATTGCTTCAGATGGAAAATGCTTTGAATAATGCACATAATGCAAACAGCATTAAAATTTTGAGGAAAACTCAAGAATATACTTAGTTAGAGATCCAATTATATTTACTTATTATGAATTTTTCATAATTATAAAACTTTGATGAGCTTTATAATACTCAAAGCGCTCTTAGTTAACTCAATACGCCAAAGCTATTATTTCCGAAAAATCCGCCGTTTGGAGGCAGCTTTTAGCTTGTGGTACCAGAAATCACAAACAGCAACAACATAAGTGCTATCGGCAATACTTTATTACTTCTCTGATTTCGGTTTAAACATAATACAACGTCGTCTGCCCATACATTTTATACTGGTTGTGGTACTATTCGTGTTTGGAATATTATCAAACTGGCCACTTAGCGTGCAAACACAGCAACACCAGCAACAAATTACTCCAATAGCGCTAAAATACGCATCGCAGTCTCAAAGCTTTTGATGGATCTCTAAATACTGCAAATGTCCGCAATTGGACAGCTAGATTTGCGGCGTTAGTAATACAATCCGGCAAATATTTAAGGAGCAAGTGGAAAAAATGAAATAGAATAATCTATGCGGTGGCTGGACGAATTCCCCAAGCAACTTGACGCTTTTACTATTTTCTTTCCATCTGAGCTACATATTTGTGCGTGGCTCTCCTGCATATCGAAGGCGGCCGAAAGGGTTAACGGTGTGATTTGACGAGAACATCCATACAAATTTACGTGTGTTTGTAGTTGGTGTTTTCCGTTTACGATGCGATGATGGATTTTGATAAATACCCTTAAGGGATCTGCTTTGATGTGCTGGACAGCGGATATTGGCAATATAAGTGTAACTTCGGAAGGGCGCGCTTTGCGTAGATTGGTGTTATCTGATTGTTTAGTTGATTTATTTAGTTTTTTTTATACGTTTCTATTTATTTATTTCTCTGCGGTTATTTGTTCTATTTTATTTTGATTGACATTCACTTTTTTGGCTTACTAAGCTGGCACTTGAGCGCATTAAATTGCGACAAATGGTCACTTTGTTGAAGTCGAACATTAAAGGGCTACGTGTTTATGGTGAGCAGATGTGGTGATGATCGGCGTGTATTTTAATTTCTTCTCTTATGTACTATATATCAATAGTAACTGAAATGGACATCATTTTCAATTTTTCTTTTCTAATATTTCTCCGATATAATTTTTAAATAGATTAACAAGTTATAGTTTTTTCATAGGTAATTAATTGCGTAAAATATAGGATTAGATAATGTATTTTGTCAGACCGAAGAGGTATCCTCCTTACTTTGCCACCATCAGTAGGTACTATAATTGAATCTGTATTAATTTTAATAACAACATCATTAAACACGGACAGAATTTTAAGACATTTATACTTCATATTTCGGGGATATTTTAAAACCTAGTTTCCTCATTTAACGGTTGTTTTTAGCTTCTAAAATTAATCGAGATAGATATAGTGTTATATATATAATTTCTTAGGATGACTAGATGAGTTGAATTCCGCTTGACCGTCCGTCTGTCTGTTCGTGCCTGGGATAACTTTAGTAAAAATTAAGATACCGCGATAAAACTTGGTACACGTATTCAATGGCACCAAGGAAGGTTGTGTTGGCGAAATCGGAACATTGTCACGCCCACAAAATGCCGTTAAGGGAAAACCTTGAAAAGGATTTTAATAAACAAAGGTCATCGAAGTAGGGAGGAGTATTTTAAAACTCTTTAAAAAGTGGATGTCTGTAATGAGTTTAATGCAAATATATCCAAACCACGTAAGCTGAATAAATAAGTCTTGCTGAGAAACTTCCTTTGCTCCTTCTCATTCCACAAAATGAGCGAATTCAAATGATAAACACGCCCAGCCCATTTAACGGTTATGTTGAAAACTACTAAAGTGCGATAACTCACTAAAAAATGACATCAGAAGCATTAAATTTCACAGCAAGATGGTTCGGAAGGACGTCATAGGAATAAGTGTAAAAATTGAGCATGCACCACCCACTACAAGACCAATTTTAACTTAACATCTTTGCTATTCTTAAATCGGATGCCTACTTCCATATATCCCAATGCTCATGGCTGACTTTATACCGTAATACTGTTTAATCTGTGAGATATTATATATTATTGAATGAGAGAAATATTTTTCGATAAAAATGTGTCAAAATGGGTAAAACCAGGGCAATTCTTCCCTAGCCCTGATATATAAAATAATGACTTTCGAATTTCTGGTGAAATTTATACGGTATTGGTAAATTGTTAATACTTGTATGTGAGTTATAGTATTGTAAAAAAATCAAAGAGCGTCGTTTTTAATAACAGTGTGTACATGTACCTAAAGTCGACCTAAATATATGTTTGGTCAGCGTGTGAGTTATCTTCATTAAATTGTGTGTAAACATGTTCCTATGCTCGACTCGCTTTCGCATTCAACGTACTCTCTGCTCCTCAGGAAATTTTATCTGTTCTCAGGCTCAAAAGAATGGTCGCTGAAAGAAATAGCGGAACTGAAACTATTTTGATGCCAAATTGCATAAAAAAATCAAGGTCAACTTCCGGATTAATATGATAACACTGCTGATAGTGTTTTCCGGATAGACGTAAAGTGTCTGACTTCGAAATTTAATAATGATGTGAAAGTGAAATACGTATGAAATAATACCAGACCTATTACCCTCTCTCTCTGTAATCGATGGGAATGTTTCGGTAAACATTATAATAAATTAAATTGAAATTATTCTAAAAGTGATATGTATGTACATTCTTGTATGGTAGCTAAGTTGCCGTCTATTTTTAATGCAGTCATTCAAAAGAGACTAGTTCATGTAATCTATAATAAGTATAGCTTTCAAAACAAGAAAAAACTGGAAAATGGAAAAGTGGCAAAAAGTTGAACAAGAAAACTCAATTGCAAATAATGCACTTCGTGCGAAACCTTAAGCTATGCTTTTACAAGACTTCAATGGCAGGATAACAAGATTCCATGTAATGTCGGCGAACACCAACACACATCTGTTCTAACACAAGCAGCAACAATGTAGAAGTCTGACATTCTTTTCGCTATATGGGTAAGAAGAAGCTTTGTGCGCGGAACACGCCAGCGGCAGTTAAACGTTGCGGCGGTAAAGCTCACGCACGAAAGGATAACGTGCACTCATCGTATGCTCCTGTGTGCAGTAAGGTAAAAACAAATGAGTGTGTTTGTGTGTGCGTGAGTGCTGCAAAAAGTGCGAGGTGTGCAAAAATAAAGAAATTCTCAAACACTTTTACAATTGTTTGCTCAGTGAAAGTTGACATGACGCTTGCAGCTGTGGTTGCGGCGGCGAGTCTCGCTTTGGCGTGGACGGAATGCATAATAATGAAATGGCTAAACACTACCGTGTTTGGCGGTAGAAAGACGCTCCTTCGTCTGATATATACCATATATAGGAATGAATTTAAACATGAAGTATAAATGAGTTGGTGCGTGAATATATAAATGTAAGCATTTGAATAATAGATTTTAGCTGTTAGTGCAAAATTGTTTTTAAGAAAATCTGCTCTAACTCATTCGTTTACCCTTTATGGCCGATTTGTCTTAATTTAATATCTATATATNAAATACTGTTTAATCTGTGAGATATTATATATTATTGAATGAGAGAATATTTTTTCGATAAAAATGTGTCAAAAATGGGTAAACCAGGGCAATTCTTCCCCTAGCCCTGATATAGATAAAATAATGACTTTCGAATTTCTGGTGAAATTTATACGGTATTGGTAAATTGTTTAATACTTGTATGTGAGTTATAGTATTGTAAAAAAATCAAAGAGCGTCTGTTTTTTAATAACAGTGTGTACATGTAACTAAAGTCGACCTACATATATGTCGGTCAGCGTGTGAGTTATCTTCATTAAATTGTGTGGAAACATGTTCCCTATGCTCGACTCGCTTTCGCATTCAACGTACTCTCTGCTCCTCAGGAAATTTTATCTGTTCTCAGGCCTCAAAAGAATGGTCGCTGAAAAGAAATAGCGACTAGAAATAACTATTTTGATGCCAAATTGCATTACAAAAATCAAGGTCAACTTACCGGATTAATATGATAACACTGCTGATAGTGTTTTCCGGATAGA